TCTTTTCCCCACGCTGAGCCACTACAGCTGATTTTAGGGTTCCCACCTGCTCAATCCCACTTTAACCTCTTCCCTGCTCATGTTCCTGTTTAGAGGCAAAGTCACCCTCTACAGTGTAGGCATTGTATTATTACATTATTAAAACATTACATTACATTAATATAGCACATGGATCAATAGTTTTGTGTAAAATATATATCAGTACTTCAGCTTTTAATGGAGTATTAGTTATCACTAGTATCTGTCACCTTCTGTGTTGAGCTCATTGTTTCCTCTGTAGTGACTCAGCTGAGTCCAGATGGCTGAAAATGTTCCTCTGCTGCTCCGTCAGACTCTTCTCCTCCTGCTGATCAGCTGGGACACAAAACAGATCTTTGTTAGGCTCCACACTGCACTGAAGAGTCAAAGTGTCTCATATGTTCATCTGACACACAAAGTACAAGTTTTAGCTTCCCCAAGTGGGCAACTTGTTTGAAACAAACACAAAAGGTTTGAGCACCGATACCAAATTTAGCAGTATGGCACAGCAGTACCAGGAGAGACTGAGGCCTGTTATTAGAATCAGATGCCCAGTGGGCAGACACAACTTTGCGCCAATAAGATTAAGGCAGCTGTGTTTTAATATAAATAAATGGATTTCATTATAGCACTTTTCCGCCAACATACGCTGTTTTCCTCTTTCTGGGGCAAAGTGGGCGATAAACAAAGAAATGCTCGGTATGTCCGATGGCCAGTCCAGCTGAATTGTACAATACTGATACTTGAGAGTGCGCGTGTGCGTGCGCGATGCAAGCACGTGTAGAGTGTGTGTTGAGCGCGTGATCAGTAGTGACAAAAACAATTCACAAAACGTGACCATACTATACTCGTGGCTCACTTCTAATCTATTGTTTTGCACACTTATACACATACCCAGCTGTTTTGCTACACTCTAGAGCCTCGCCTTTAACGGTCTTCTCCCGCCCGCTCTCACAGAGAGGAGCAGAAAACTTCATAAAGCTCAAGACTGACTGAACTCAGATCAAACTTACCTTGGCACTTACTTTTAGATGGGAGAGGGAAAAACTGAGAAACAAACAGCAATGAAACGGGAACTCTGTGGCTTCTTCTTCGTCGTTGTCGTGTTCGTCGTCTTCTTCTTCTTTTTGGCGGTCAGCGCTTTAAGGTACATTATCACCACCTGCTGGACTGGATGGTCGTCCATTGTCCACAGACCCTTGGAAGTTTCTGTTCAGATTAAAAATGGAATTCAAGGATCTCGTGACTTGGGTTTGTGGCTTTCACTGTTTACTCTTTAATTTTCTGCCACGTGTAGCAAACCCCACAGCTCAAATCAATGAAGAATTTAGTATTTTTAAGATGTTCTTCGCAGCATTGCTGCAAACAACATACATAGCTGCAACCAGCAGCTATGTAGGCCTAAAATGTGGTCCCAACATGTGAAACAGGTTTACCACCAGAAGAAACAGACTGTAAATAAAAGACTGCGAAAATGAAAAAAATCTTACTCTGACTTTGGATTGCAACCACATTCCCATTTGTCTCTTTAGTCTTTTATTTATGGCTCCAATTATTTGTAACAATGTAACATGTAACAGTCCTGAACTCTGTAATTAACAAATTTTATCTTGAACGACTGAAATGGCTCCTTCAACTTGTAGCTTGAGATTTTTCACAAGCCTCCTTCTGATCAGAAAGTTTGTGTGGTCAGTTGTTTTTGTGTGTTTATCATACTCTAGGCATTTGCCACTCTTTTGAGACAGTTTTCTCTCCACATAAGTTCCCTGAATGCCTCACACACAGCTGCAGGACATTTAGCTAGCATCGGCTTTCAAGATATTCTTTCATACATTCTTCTGTCGTGTTTCATGTATTTGCTCCAACATTCAGCATTGCTAAAACTGCATTGTTTCTGTGGCTTGTTGGTCTGGGTAATGATTGGGTGAGCAAGCTCCCGGGTTCAGCTCCTGGACAAGACCATGTGGTGTTATATGAACCCTATAAAGACATTTGGTAGAGATATAATAACAACTTTCCAAAGATCTCAGCCAATTAATTCTCTCTATGAATATAATTAACAAATAAATTCTGCTGATGTGTTAATCCACAGCAGCTGGATAATAAAGTTTACTGTGTGAGCCATCTCACTTCATCTTTATTCCACCTTACAGGAAGCGTCTGCGTCTCAGCTTGAAAGGTTTTTTTGTTTTGTTTTTTTTAATGCACCTATTTATTTTATTTTACTATGAAAATTAAAACTCATCAGATTAAAAAACCTCAAGCAAAACAATCGATAAAGCTGCATAAACTGGTAACATATACACAAACAAACAAATACATACATTAAGTACTTTAAATACAGGCCATAAAAATTAGAAACTAAAACGACCAAAACTTCAGAATCTATAAAGAAGGAAAACTTGAACATGATGAAAAGTGATGAAAAGTGTCTAATGACAGAAAAAAACATAATAATATTCAGGTCAAACATTTGCAGGCTGAAGTAGCTGCATCCAAGTCATTCAAGTTGAAAATCTCCTTAAGTCTATTAAGTGAGATCAGCTCATTCAGTTGTTGTTGATTTCAGCTGATTTCAAGAGGAAGGAGCTGCAAATCTGAACACTCTTTTTTCCCAACATAACTCTTTTGACACTGAGTTGGTAGTGGGGTATGTTCCTACACCTTTCATGACAACTATCCTCAGCCACATATTCCTGGATATATATAAT